TGGTGCGTTCCTCTGCTGCCCCTCTCCAGGCGCAGAAGGCGGTGCTGGCCGCCCTCAGCCGGGTGTGGTACGCGGAGGCAGGTGCCGGCTGTGTGCTGACACCGCTCTTGGCAGCCTCCAGTCACAAACCGAATATAGGAGCACACTGATGGAATTAATGCCTCAGCCTCGACAGAGCTTGAACGTGCTCGTGGTCTTGTAGGTTTTGATTCTGAGCGTGTATAAAATGCTGTAGGGTAAGGATGCAGTCAAGCATATAAGCAGTGTGGTGTATTTTGTCGGCCGGTATCTTTGTGTCGCCCTTCTGTCCTTTCTGCCTGTGTCGTGGTTTTGGACTAACAGGCAGCTCATTGCTAACACATGCGGATAGGTGTTGCGCCACATGGAGAGAGATCGGCCGTTCTTGAAGAGAGGCTGACATAGCTCCTTTGCTAGTGTCACTTGCTTTTCAGCTCCGTCTGAAGTTTTCAGAACCTTGCATGAGTACACAGAAAGTAATCATGAGTGCTGTTCTACCATTAAGCTGAACGGTCAGTGCCAGTTAGGAAGAAAATGCAAATCATGCCGTCTTCCTTTCCTGCTGGATAGGATAAATACTTCTACTACTGTGTCTGGCCTGGGGATACAGCTTTTCCATAATTTGGAAATCTGGGATCTGAAGTGGTTTTGGCTCTTTGTACATAAGGATGATCCAAGGTTTGTGTTTGTTTCAGCGTAATACGTTCCTGACTTCCATCAGAGGGACGCATGTTGTTGGTAGTGCAGCATTTGAGTAGTGGATACTTAGGAAAATCTGAGCCTAAGCTATTTAATAGACCGAAGTTGCTCAGTAATTCTGTGGTAGAGCAATAGAAAAGTTAGAATAGTTCTCTTTTCTTAGTTCATTCTTCTATGAATGAGAGGGTGTAGGGCTTTATTCCATTAGCTTGCATAATGAAGACAGGGATAATTCTAGATTGCTGCAATTATCTGACGACTAAAGATGCATAATTCCTTCCATATTAGCCCTGCAATATAGAATATGAACATTTTACTTGAGGATGGAAAGGACTTAAAGGAGCTGTTTAATTTATATGATAAATACATAGTTTATAATTCATTACATTTTAACTTCAATTCCATTTTGTTTCTGCTTACTTTAAACAGCAATTACAATATTATTCAGATGTGAAGAGCAGGACTGCTTGGTTCATGAATTTGAGAAATGCAAGAACTCTGAGTGGCACAAGGTAAAAATACATTTTGAGGTACTCATATGAAAATATTGGTTATGTATTTTAGAATAACTTATATATGTACTAATACTACCAAACTAATGTAATGTTGACATGATGTAAAGGACAACTACAGTTTCAGCTAAAAGCATTTTGTGTGTATTTGCGAAGTCACTTAGCAAATATACAAATTACAAAATTGTGTACCTAAACACAGGTGTCTAGCACCATTTCACATGTGCCAGAGGATGAGAAATTTCTGCTTGTTCTGAGAGAATGTGACACAGCATCTCTTGGAGACTGCTCCCTTCTGATGCAGTAGTTGGAGACACAATAAAGGATTATGCAGATGTCTGAAATGGCTCTTGCCTTCAGGTGCCTAAAGTGGACCCTGAACCTCTACATGAATCCTGCCCGATCCAAAGGCTTTCTGTTCCCCATGCCCCAAAGCATTTTGTGGTGTCCTTCACATCAGTGGCATAGAGTATATTTCAGTAACTGGATAAGAAACTTTTCTAATAGTTTCTGTTATGAACTGATATATATTATATATTCAGCCCATAGCAGCTGTTTCATTGCCATAAGTATTAGCAAAAATTGAGATTATTTTCCCAAAGTGTTTGCTGGCAGGGACACCCCTTTACACACTCAGCTGAAAGCTGACACTGATAGAGATGGAACAGCTTACGTGATTTGAATTACATTTGGTTAATTAAACTGTTCTGCTCTTGGTTCCACTAAAGACTGAAAGAGAATTGGTCTCACAGGTGCTTTAAGCCTTACGTAATGGCCACAAGGGTGCTTTGAGACTCTCTGGAGTAGTCTGTAATTCATAAGTGTTAGTTCATAAGCACAGTTTAAATAACATCTAATTGCATGGGTAATTCCAGTTGAGGAGGCAAATGCTATGCATAAACATGACATGTGATACTGACATTTCTAAACTGTGTATAGCTACAGCAAGTTTTGTAGAGCCTAATGACATATTTCTAAATGGGAGATGCTTTTGTCTCTATTTGTAGAGTTCAAAACTTAAACAAAGTCCTATTATGAAAATTCCTTACTTTAAAATCTGATGCTGTTTACTAAATGGGGTTAGTATATCTAAGGCAGCAAGTATCTTTTCCTCAGTTAAGAGATCTCTAATATCAACTAATTTCAAAATTTCACTTCCATTGATAAGGTGGATTGTCAGTTACATCACCTTAAGAAAAATGACTACTTGTTTTAGAAGATCATTTCATGGTTACAGTTTCATCCAAAGTTGTGGTCTTGGTATGTTTTTATTATAGGGAGAATGCTGTCTTCCATGCTTTTCCTCCTAATTGTGGACTTCTATGTCATTTGTAGCTCTTTAGATGAGACAACCTATGAGAAACTGGCTGAAGAAACACTGGACTCCTTAGCAGATTTCTTTGAGGACCTGGCGGATAAACCTTTTACCCCAGAAGATTATGATGTCTCTCTAGAGGTATGTTTTAAATATTATATTACCACTGTAATTATTGTAGGGGTTTTTTCCTATTATTTGAAGGAGAATTTTAAATTAGTCACCTTAGTGCTGATACTGAAAATGCAATGAATTTTTTCCCATTTATTGTATACTGACCAGGGCAACAATTCTGGTGAGAAGCAACACATACCATTGTGTGATTTAGGGATTCAAAATTTTTCATGTTTAGAGAAAGACATAATATTGAATAATAAATGAGCACAGTGGAGATGGAAACTGTTCTCTTATTTCACATTGTTCTATAAATTTTCCTAAACAGGCACAGTCAGTTCCCTTCTGGTGTACTACATAGCACAGTACATCTCATGTAACTGTTAGAGCAGTTTCTTTGGTTGCCCTGAATACAGACAAGCAGCATTTGTATTGACCAGGTAGTGTATGTTTGTCCTGGCTTTAATGACAGCCTGTGGTGGAGAGAAGCAACAGGTGGGTGCAGTGTTGGATAGGTTGTTGCAGAAGTGAGACCAGAGCGTACACATGGGGAAGAGGCTACTGTCACAGGAGACATTGCATGGCTGGAGCCTTCAGTAGTCAGTTACTCAAATACAGGCGTGACAGACTCAGAACAAAAATGTTTGTGTTATTTGTAGAGGGGATTTATTAGTGTTTTTATAAATTCAGTTCCTGAAGTGATCTATGTCTTACAGCCCTGAACATGACTTGGAGAAGAGTACCGTTTCTCCCTACAGTACTGTCTGCTACACAGGTTTTTCAATACTGCAGTTTTTTGAGGTCACATAACTATTGCTCTCTCTTCATGTCTTAACCACAACGAGATTGCTTTGTGCTGGCACTGTCAGTTATGTTTTTGTGCCCCAGAATGTTGAATCAGGTGGTTTGGGTTTCACTGGGCAAAATACAAAACCAAAACAAAAGTCTGTAGTTTTTGGACTTCCTTGTGTAGCTTTGTCATCATAATTTTCATTCTGTATTTCTGATAGCTAAGATATAAAATAACATATTGCCAGTAGCTTTCTGTTTAGCAAATACTACTTGTTGCTTTAATTAAGTATATAGATAATGTTACAGCTAATTGCTTTTCTGGTAGAAAGCATTTTAAAACGTTACTCTTCAGTATGTTTTAGGAGATCAATGTACCTATTAGCCTGATGTAACTGTCCTAGGACAAAAATAAGCAATAGTTGAAATTTACCTTTTTAGTATTATTAAACACTTCATTATGCTAAGCAGATGAGTTATGTCATAATTTTTTTTCTCCATCTACTGTATGGTGGATTATGTTTGACACTGACTTGTGAAGCTCAAGAGCTAATACTTTTACATCTTAATTTTTATCAGTGGTCCTTTACTATATAGACAGGATGATGACAATTAATAATATGCTGTCATTTCTGTTGAAAGGAGAGGGTTAAATAGCCCAGGTTTAAATTCTAAACAAACAGGGTCAGTGCTGCAAGAAACCACAAGGTGGCAAATGTGATAAAGGTCTGCTGTGGCTGTTGTAACTGTGAGTGCTTTGAGCAATTTATATTTTCGTGTTCAGGAAAAAAAAGAATCTCTTTAGAAAAATATTTTTGTTACCGGGAGGTAGCAAACATTCATCCAGTAGTACAAAATATATACAGCAGTATTTCTTAAAATATGGTAAAAGTATCTTGCAATTTAAACTCTTAAAAAAATTCAAGTAATATTTTCTTGAATTTTGAGTAGTATTTGAGAAGTACTGTAAAATATATGAGAAAATGTTTTCAACATATCAGTAGAGGTTAACCTCTATTTACCTTGCAAGGATGGAGGAACAATACTTTCTAACAGCTGTTACACAGTATAAACAATAGTATAATTTTTTGTTGACTTTTTGAAAATCTATTTACTTATAGTGTGTCTGTAGAAACATGTAGCACACTGAATACTTAGTATGGCATTACAAATCTCATAGAAGAATGCTATATACAGAACCTGTATATCATTATTCAGGCCTAATCCTCCATCCTGTTCTTATTCTGCTGTATCTCTACAATTCTAAGACCATGAGATATGGAAAACTTGAAATTCTGACAACCAGAGAAGTAGCTTGTTCTTGCCCTTCTGTGCACTGTACTAATGTCCAATAGAAATAGCTGGCAGGACAAACCTGATGGGACTTGTAACCAGAAAACACTTTTATTTTTATAGCTTTTATCACAGATTTACCTATTCTGTGCCTTAAGCACAGAAAGAGCAGGGAAACTAAGGTAAAAAATCAGATCCCAAGAGCATTATTTTAAGCCTAGTGCTACTTGAGATATGTTCCTCTGAGTTACTTTGTAAGGGAAGGAAGCTTTGAGTTGCTGCTTGTGCTACAGAGTATGTTGGCAGGCAGTAGATACTCATGCCTGAAAGTATTTTTCCCCATAGTGAGTGTTTATACATAGCAAATAGCCAGGCAATGATATGTACCTCTAGTAGTATCTTCTGACTAAAGCATGAAAGGTATGATACCCTTAAAGAAGCTTTGTTGTGCCATAGGCCTTGAAGTATTTGAGATACTGTGAATTAAATAAATTATTATCTGAATCGTCACATTGCATTCTGTAGAAATATTTCCCTTTTAAATTAGTATAATTCAGATCACCTTTAGATCAACTCCAGTCCAAATATTGTTGTTTTTTCACTCGTAAAATCAGAACAGAAAATATTTTTGTCAGTTACTAGAAACATGAATTATGTTGTCAGTAAGAAATATGAGCAAGAAAGAGAAGATAAATGTTCACCAGGATAATTGTGTAAAGGTGACATAACCACAGCAAAACCAGACTCATGGAAAACCAGAGTCATGGAATTTAGAACTGGAGGATTTTTTCAGGAATGAATCCAAATTATCAAGAAAAATATGTGTTTGTTCCCTGTAAAACTGTTACCATTACTGAAGAAAAGTAAGGTAGAACTGCATGGCTCAGAAATCTGGCAATGACACATAAAGCTTCTTGACTTTGTACCACACCAGTTCTGCATTGTTCATTAATATAAAAAAGTTTTATTGGATGATGTTTTAATCATTGCAAAATGAATTGCAATGGTCTGGTCTTTTCAGGATGCCAGGTCCAAGCTCAAGAATATTATTTAAGTAGTAACATTGTGAATGGTACAAACACACTAAAATCAAACTCTGATCTAGACTTTAGACCTTCTGGTCAGACTCAAAGATATGCTAGGTTTAATGATCATTCTCCTTAGCTATTATTGTTTGGGAAGATGGTTGAGAATTGGATACAGGTATGTAAGTTTCTGCCAGTGCAGGTGAAGTAATTGTTGTCAAAGTAGCGGGATACAAATTTTTTATTTCTTACTTTCTTTGTCTTTTAAGAATGGAGTACTAACAATTAAATTGGGTGGAGACATGGGAACATACGTAATCAATAAGCAAACACCAAACCGGCAGATTTGGCTGTCCTCACCCACTAGGTAAGTTAGTTACATAATATCTGCAGACTGGGTGGAAATGTATTTCCTCTTATTTATAGCATGGCATGATCATGTAATATCCTTTTCATAAATAACCCTTCTACTAGGCATAGTCTTAAAATGTGATATAATCTAAATATTCAGTAATGGTTTGGTACAGGGTTTTGGGCACACTGCAGTATTACTGGCATACCTAAATTAATTGTTACAGGAAATGTGTAACAAAGAATTTTCATATGCTGTTTCAGCCCAAAACCACTGCCTATAGGAATATAGTTTACTCATAGGAAATATTACCAGCAATGATTAAAAAGAAACAAACAAAGCTTCTGTTGGAAAAAGAGTGATGATGATGTCATCATCTAAACCTCTCTTTGTGTTTTAAACAGGGTGGCTCCTTCCCTTTTAAGCTTGTGGGATTTCCTGCTTCATATGTTTATGTATGCCACACTGGTTGTTTTTGTCCAGCCTCTGCACTTCACAGGAGACTTAGCTAGCTGCTTCCTCTGCCTTTCCTAATGATGTGTTTTGATCCATTTCAGGTTTTATGCTTGGTTTCAGCAAGGAGGGCAGCCATATAAGTGGGAAAATGCTGTAGCTGTCCCCCCTCAAAATCTGTATTCTTTGCCATGATCCCTTGAAAAGAACCCAGGGAGCTGATAAGTGTTAATGGTGAAGGAACGAGCTTATAATATTTTTGTGTAACTGACACACGAGCTTCATCTCTTTATAAAAACCAAAATTCAGATAATTCCCGTCTGTTTAGCTCCAGGCGAGCTAAGACATATGTGCTCCAGAAAATGGAGTTTGAGGAAAAAAGTTAAATTTTTCCTTTTTGTACTCCCTTAACTGGTGTTAGATAAACAGTGGTATTTCCTGGAACATGATGCTATGTGTTCACTTATTTCCTAACTTCTGAAAGGCAACTCTAGCAAATACTGTATGATCTGAACTGTCATCTTCTTAACTGCAATATGCTGGGAATTGAATAAAGGAAATGTCGCTGCCAGTAATTGCTTGTATTGAATGTTTTGGAGAATTTTTTACACTAAATGTTGACATTTAGTCTTATATTCCAGGGGAGATTAATTTGTCAAGTTGTGAGACATTTTTCTTGGAATTTTATTTTGTCATCTGTTTGCTATTGAGTATCCGTACACCTGAGTGAAACTTTACTTAGTTGACAGTTACAAAAAAGGGGCATCAGAAGATGTGTGCAACCTGCCAGCAGTGTGATTGCAGCAATTTAATGTAGCTCCTGACTGAAAAGACTTTTCAGCCTTACAGAATGTTAGCAATAGCTTAATATGATATTATAATTTTTTTCTCTTATGGTTGAAACATATATGCAGACTTTCCATGAGCAATACATTTAGTCTATTATTAACATGCATTTTTGCTTAAACTGTTAATTTGAAAGTCACATTTGTACAGTCTTTTGGAGATTCATAGAACTATGAAGGTGTTTCATGTGGTAACCTTATCACTGATATTTACTGCATAACATTTAAAACCAGTTCAGATAATATACATATTTCTCTATCATCTATTAAATGACAGATCTTAACCTGATTTTTATGAATGACAGGACCATATTCCATCGTTCTCTGGGTGCAGGAGAGTATAAACATAAGCCTGTGCTGCAGAGGTGAAGTGAGAAATACTTAGTAAAATAACTGGAGCACATAACCCTGATTAAAACAGTTACTACTTAAATAAATGCTTAACAAATGCTTACATAAATGCTACTGCTATTTATGTAAACAGAAGTTACTACTTCTGATGCAGACAGTGAGACTTCAGTGAAAGTGACTTGGATTTATGCTTGCCTTTGTAACTTCTCATACATTGAGCAGTGATTGGAAAGTTCTTCATTTGACTATTGTGAGTAGCTCGGGATAGTCAAGGTTCAGATCAGTGCTTATGCTTGTAGAGAGAGAACCTGCAGATTTTTCTTATGTATGTACAGATTAATCTGTTTTTTAGCAGACTTGGCATGTTGACTGAGTTCCAAGGTATGTGTCCTACAAAATCAAGGGTTTCTCCATTTATCCCAGATAATAATTTCATTCCTTTCTGTTTTCTTTGCTTATCTAATGTTACCAGCAGTGAGTACCTTTGAGTCATTCTCCCACCTGATGTTTGGAAAATGAGGTGGATAGCAAGGTCTGGAGTAGAACCCAGGTGTTCAAGTTTCTTTCTTGATACTTAATGTAAGCCTGGAAAAACCAATTCAATTACAATATAATAGCACAGACAAAAATAGCATTTAGTTGTAAGTCTGTCACATGCCAATATATTTGCTTTCAGGGGCTAAATTATTTTGTTGCATCTAAAAGGAAATTATTTTTGCTTTGGTGTGCTTAGAATATTTGCAAGAACTAATCAGTGGCATTAATTCAGCATTGTACAAATATCTGTAGTGATATTTGTGTGCAAGAAAATTATATCCGTGAGGGAAGATTGGGATAAAGGAAGGAGTTTTGGGGAAATCAGTGCCAAAAGCAGGAAGGGAAAGTGCTTGTCTCCCCTTGGACTGACTGATGTATCTTGTCACCTTTCAGATATTTCTATTTGATGGCTTAGTAGTTCCTGACATATCAGGCCTTTTCTGCTCCACTTCCTCAGACTGCCCACCAGCCGTTCCCCATGCTGTCTGTTCCTTTTCCTGGGCACTCTGTCGCATACATTATGCATACAGGCTTCCAGCAGGTCTCCTGAAATAATATGTACTTACACAGTGTGTGATGTTCTGTTGTGTTTTTTTTCTAGTGGGCCCAAGCGCTATGACTGGACTGGACGGAATTGGGTGTATTCTCATGACAGAGTATCTCTTCATGAACTACTATCAAAAGAGTTTTCAACAGCTTTAAAAACTAAATTGGATTTGTCCTGCTTAATATATTCTGGGAAAGAAGATACTTGATTTTATTCTACCTCATGGAAGTTTAAAGACTTTAACCTCAAGCCAAGCTGTTTCTTAGGCTGAAGTACCTGAGCTTAATTCTGTTGTTTTTCTTGGCATCAATATATTGTGCAACAAAAATGAAAATAACATTTTTTCTCTATTGCTCAGTCTTTGGATTTCCGTGGGCTTTTTGAATCCGTGCAGTACACATGGTTGAGGTCGCCCATCCTGTCACTTCATTTCTTGCTTTCTTCCTGCAGAAGTCATGAATTTTTAGTTTCTATAGACGTGTTTGCATGTAAGGACTGACTGCCTGGTGACTTCTGACCAGCACACAAACACTGAACTTTGCTTGGTGAAACATTCACCCAAAACAAGAAATGCCTGCCAGTTACATTGGCATAAATTGCGGTACTGTGAATGTACTGCCTCAAAATTTGTGGCTATTGTAATACATCATAGTCACATTTAACATGTCATAGTGCATGTAATGACAGTTTTTTTCTTAGTATTGCAGAACTTGCTATTCTCCAAATTCTAAATTGTAGTGTGTTTCACCTCAGGATTTTTTTTTTGAGCTAAACTTTAAATTACTTAGACATTTTTGTGGTTCTGAGCATGATATGGAATTGGAAAAGCTAGTATGTGAAGTTTAAGCTGTATAGCAATACCTCTGCAAACATTTAATTCTGTTACTGTGCATTTCTCTTTCTCTACCCTTTTGTTCTTCAAAGAGTGAAAATACTTTTTTTTTGAGCCAAGCAAAATTAAGTTCATGAAAATTTGCAGTAGTTTTATTCTACTGCATTTCTTCAATAGTTTAAGATTATCTTCTTACCACCATGATGCAGCAAGTCTGCCCCTGGTACCGTGCTGATGGAGAAATTTCTTAGAATCAAGTATTGTTCTTAGGCTGATGAAGCTGTCTTCATTAGGCTATTAAATATGTGAAGGGAATAAACTATATACTCGAGATCTTGCAACAAAAAACAGTTAAAGAAGTAATGAACAGCAATACTTCAGCAATTGCACTGTTGTAATATTACAGCTTGCAGATTTTAACTGTCTGTAAAATGGAAGGACCAAATTATTGACTAATGCATGAGGGAAAAATTATACCGTGCTCTTGCAGATTGTATGAAAAGATGTTCAGTCCACAGTATATTTCTTTTCAGTTTCTCTGATGCTGTGGTTTGGCATGATTTTCTAGCTAGCTTGACAGGGAAGGATTGAATTTGTCATTGAAAAACAATAACTGTAAAGTGTTCTTGCCCAGTATTTGCATTTAGAGATTTAGAGTATAAGCATTGTTACCTGCTATTTCTCACTACTAAACAGAGAAATGTTTCGATGGAAGTAGCTCTTGGTTAATGGTTCATGCTCTGTGCATGTTTTACAATCAATATGAATTTCAGCACTATTGGATGAGGTAAATACAATGACTCCCAGACCTCATAAGAGTAAAGCATGTTTTTTCAAAAGAGTACAGGGAGGTAAAAATAGAATATGTTTTTGCAGTTCTGAATTTAGAACACTGAAGATAATTTATAGCATATGGAAATATGTATTTTTATGTAGTTACTTTTATGATATTTAACTCAGTCTCCTACAATTTCAGATAGTCGTTTAAACTAATTTATGTAGAAGTTAATGACATGATATCTGAGTCAAGGATACCTGGTTATTCCTTTGCCTGACCATGTGAAATTATTTTTTCCAATTGACTTCTCCAAAAATTATTTTCCTAAGTATTTGCATGCAATATGACCACTCATATGCATCTGATTCATATTTGGAAGTTAATTTTCCATTCCCTTACATCTGGTAGAAATGTTTATAGTTAAATAAAATTGAATGTGAAATTCTTAATTCATTATGTAAAGGTATGATTCAAGAGTTTGATGATAAGGGTGAAGGCCACAGATGTGCATACTTTTGAATTCTTTCTGTTTTGTAAAACACATACTGGAAAGATTCTGTGCAAGTGTGGCCAGTTGATGTGAATTTTGTAAGAGCAGTTCAGCTTTCACAGTTTACATGCCTTGCCCTTAATCTGTAATGCTACTGCTATTTATGCAAACAATTTCCTGGGTTTAGGTATCTGAGTAACAAATGCGTTTAATCTTAGCTGAAGATAAATAGTGTCAGCAAGTTAGAATGAGTTTTATCTCGATGTACAAAATGAATCATAGGACATGACTCATTTTTTGCTTTAATACTTGCATCCAGTTTTAAGTAGGGGGCAAGGACTCCCATGAGCCATCCCACTTGTACAATGGAGGCACAGAACAAGCTCTAATCCTAATATCAGACTGCTTATTGCCCCAAGACAAGTAACACTTCTGTACTGTTTTTTACTTCCATAACTTACAGAATAAAAAGACTGTTGAATAGTTCCCCACCTGACATCATGTCAACAGTTTCTTGCTTCACCTCTCCCAAAAGAAATAGCTGAAAGACAATCATTAAATATAGACTATGCACAGACAGTATTAATGAGAACCACTGTGTTATGGTCATTACTTTTTTTCACAGTCCAGTGCTCCACTGTTGGTGAAGGAGAACATGCAGAATATTTTGGAAGGATGAGTTGCCATTTCATAGCTTTACTGGCTGCCTAAGCTCAGCACATAAATTGGGGTGTGTTGGGCTTTTTTTAGTTACACCAGAATTTTCATCAGCTGCTAATCTGACCTAAGTTCTTGTCTGGTGTTTGCTCATTTTCTTTTCCACTTGTGTGTAATTCGTAAGAAAACACTACTTCTTTGTAGGATTGTTCCATGTGATAAAATCATTACATCTTATTTCCTTAAAATATTGCAACTTCAATAAATGGGACAAAGGTCTGTCCTGAAGAGGAGGTACTGGAATAAAAGAAAGGGGGTTTACAGGAAGGTTTGTGTTTGATTATTTTTAGCTTCTGGTTAGTGGTTGAATTCCGCGATTGTGCTAACCAGCTCTGTAATATGTGGAAGTCCTGGGAAGGAAGGCAGAGGCTTGCCAGAAAACCTGAAAGAACATTCAAAATAGTAAAGGAAGCACGGGAGGGGCAGAAGCAAAGTCTATCAGGAAGAAATTAGCTTTGTACAACAGCAGATGTCGTTGGCAGGGCAAGGAGAGATGCGGGGCAGACTGCTTCATGTTGCCCTTTAGGGAATGGTGTTTTAAATTTATTCCACTATATATAATTTTAACCAATCAAACATGTTCCAGTCCATTTTGCTATTGAGATTTTTTGTTTTAATTCCTATATAAAGATAACAAAAAATTGTGTGGCGTTACGTCCCTCTCTCTCCCAAATTGTCTTTTATGTAAATTGTACTGCTGGCAGTTGTAGAACAAAGACAGTATTCATGCTTTTTACTGAGGGAGGTGACCAGTGGAGGTTGCTTTGCTGCTCGTAGGATAAACAGAGCCATGAACAATTAAAGTATTCTAAACAGTTCCTTACTGCAGACTTTTTTTTTTAAATTCAGGTTAAGGAAAGACAGACAAGTTTAGATTAGAAAACAATATATATTTAAAATAAGGCATATAATATTGATGCCCTCTCCAGTTTGCTGAATTGATTTTAAAATTCTTTGTATTGTGATAATTATGCAAAGTGATCAGTAACACAGTGAATAAGTTTGCAAGCATTGTTACTTTCCAGATGAAGGCTCTTCTGCTAGCAATCAATGTTCTCTGCTGTTGTACTAAAAGAAGTCAGATACATATTTAATGTGTCCATAGTCTTACTACTCTTAACAACATTTTAGGAGCATTAACCGGACATCCTAAGGCCACTGTTACAAAAGATTTTGAGAACTAACGGATGAAGTTTTAAAACATTCATTAAAGAAAAAGGCACCTACCACAGTGTAAACCAAGTAATCTGACACATACCTGGAAGTAAAACTAAATTTCTATTTCTTGTGCCTTGATTCTGCCTAAAAGCAATATTGCATTACGTGCTGATCATAGAATTAGTCTGTAGGTGACTGAAAGCACCAAGTTTATAAATTAGCCCTGATTTAGTCTTTTTTTTTCCCCTCTGACTTTTGCTGTTGAGGCTTTTAGACTGAAATAGATACTTGAAGGCTAGTGTATGCACTTGCATGTTAATTATTAACAATAGCTAGAAGCAGGCCTTTCCATACAATATCTGAATGCAGTTTCATATTTGCTCTAATAAAACAGGTTCTTTCAGGCCTTCCTTCCAAAGTCCAGCCTCTTCACGAAGAATACTGTTTGCCTTCCTTATCTTACTTTCTGTATGAGATACAGTGCATGAACTGTACCTATTGAGGAAGAAATTTATCTGAATTAGAAGTGCAGTGGGAGTCTGGTATATTTCTCACCTGCAACTAGCAACAAACCATAAAACTTTAAGTAGACTTTGTTCCGCAGGCCTGATCCGGGTGGGAGTGTGCTGTTTAATTTTAGAGGGGCTTGCAAGGGGTTTAACTGTCCACCAGATAAGACAGTAGATAAGGAATTCCTAGTGACATTTAGTGCTTTACAATGCAAAAGAAATACGACTCCAAAGAATCCTGCCAGGGCTGTTTCGCCTTGCCTTTCTCATCTCAGCTGCAGGACAGCAGTGATGCTGAAAGCTGATACCTGTGGAATGCCAGCCTGGAGTGTATTTCTCTCCTGGTATGTTGCAGTTTCGGGAACGGTATTGGTGGACTTGCAGAGTGACACGGGGTGTTCCGGCCTGGAAACGGAGCTACTCTGCCTTCTGCTAATCTTGGACATTTCAGCTGAGAGTGATGATGTGAACAGAGCTCTCCCGAGCTGTCAGTAAAGAGGCCGCAGCTATTCTGTGATAAAGAGCAGGGAAAAGCAGATTGAGAGGCGTACGTAGAACACTGTGCTGTGGTGTTAAAGGCTGTCTCAGAGGTCTTCCCGTTAGAAAGGTTCAGATGGGCAATGATCCCAAAGTTCCAAACACACTGATGTAAACGGAAAACACACCCAAGCGCTGGGCTGGGTGACGGTGAGTTCTGCCAGCGGCGACCGGGCTCCGCCGTGCTGCCTGGGCCGGCGCGGGGTGCCTGGGGCAGGGCCGGGACCACACCGGGGGGCAGCGCCGGGGTCCCCTGCCAGGAGACGGGACGGGCAGAGAAAAGCCGGGGGGCGGGGCGGCCTCGCCGCGGTGACTCAGCGGCGCGGAGCACCGGGCTGCGACCGGTATTTCCTGTTCCCCTGCCGCCGCCGCGGTGTCGGTGTGTGCGGGCGTGGGCCGGGGCAGCCGGGCGAAGGCACCCCTGGACTGGAGGGGCGGCAGCCGCAGGTGGGGGCGCGCCTAAAGAGGGGGCGCGCCGCCCGCCCCGTCCGGCCGCCACCGCCCCTCCCCTGCCGTGCCCTGCCCTGCCCTCCCCATCCTTCCCCTCTCCTCCCCACCTGGGGGCGAGGCCGGCACCTGCAGCGGGAGCCCGCCCCGGCGTGGCCGCACCGCCCCCGCCCGCGCCCCGCAGGAAATCGCCCGACTCGGCGGGAGCGGCCACAGCGGACCCGGACCCAGCTTCAGACTCGTCTCCAGTCCCAGCCTCGGCCCTGCACTCGGATTCGACGCCCTCAGTCGCTGCCCGCTCCCGGGCGACAGGGCAGGGCAAGGCGCAGTCCCAGCGCCGGGGCGCCTCTGGGACCTCTGCTCCCGCTGCCGGACGCCCTCCGCGAGCAGGCGAGTATCCCCGCGGGATGTCCCCGCCCCGAACCCGCGCTCATCGCCGCTTCCCTCCCCCCGGGCAGGTGCGGTGCCCCCCGGCACCCCCTGTTCTCCGCGGCCGGTGCCTCCTCTCCCCGCCCCGGGGGCCGCGCTGCGGCCACGAGCTGCCCGGCTTCTCATTCTCGTTCCTTTGTGTGCTTTGGCTTTTATCGCCCTGTTGCCTGCGCTCCTCAGGCGCGCCTTGCCGCCTTTGTCCGCGCACTCGGACCCGCCGCGCCCCCGCGGGGCCCCCAGGCCGGTCCCGCGCCCGTCGCGCACCTGGGCGGCGCGAACAGCCGCGCTCGGCCGGGGATCGGCTTTTCTCTAACGGGATTAAGCGGCTCTCGATGACTTTTTCCGTGATAAGTACTTTCCGGGAGAGCGCGATACTACGCGGAAAGTGGGAGAGATGTCACCAGCGAGTCGGGGTGTTTGTTTACCCGGGCTACTCCCGGGGGGGCCGCTGGCGGGGCGGATCCCCCGGGCAGCTCACGCCCCCGCTGTCGGGGGTTTGGGCTGCCTTTGTTGCGCAGAGAATTCCTGAAATCTTTATGTTGGCACATCCCGAGTGAATTCCAGCCGTGCCTTGGGCTTTGACTAACTGGGTCAGGGGAAGTTTCAAGTTAACAGGGAACCGTGAAACAAAGGACAGGCAGTTCCAGAAGACAAATGCTTTAATTGCCCTGTTAAAGTGCCTTGGCATCGGCCGTGTTTGCGGTGTTGGAGCCCAGGTACATTAGATTCTCACCCTGGAGTGCCAAGCTTGATCTATCAGTGGCATGCAGTTGTTTTAGTTGACAACTCTGCCCTTACTTACCCCATACTTGAAACCTGTTTGCCTTTTTTTCCAGCATGAGAAAGTACGTGCTGTTTGAACATACTTATGGAAGTGCCATATAACAGACTCTTACAGAAAATCAGAAAACCTTCATGCTTCGGTGTTGCTTTTTAGTAGTTGTTCACTTGAAACAGAGAGAATGTCTGAATTAGCTGCTTCCTAGCTTCAGTTCATAAAATTGCGTCCATTTCCACAGCTAAGATGATTCTCGAGGGCTCTTGGCCCCACAGCTGTGCTTCAGCAGAGGCTGCAAATGTCTGCTTTGTTTTAACCTTCGGAGATAATTATCAAGGTCGCATCATTTGCCACACAGTAGATTACCTTTTCTTTTTTTCTGCAAAATTTTAAAGGTTGAGAACTGTGATTCACCCCTAGTTCGAAAAATAAAAGAGAAACTATTATGTGCAAAACTGCGTCTTTAATTTGTGAAGCATTTGTCGTCTAAGGCTTAACTATCAGCTCTTTCAAATAGAGATACTTGTCAGGATCCAAGAAGTCCTGACATAGCAAGAATCAGGTACTGAAAGGCAAAGGAGATTTGCTTGTGTAAATTAATACTAATTGGGAGATCATCAGGCTGCTTTAAGAGACTTTGAAATGTTTTTCATTTAGTAAGCATGTGTGTGCCACTTAGACACGATCAGTAAGATTTATACTTAGTATAACATTATTATGAGGATTATGAGGGGTGTCTTCAGCCTTTTGACAAAGTTTTTTACATATATTTGATTTTTAGGTGAGTTTACTGTTATAATTACTTCTTGACTGTTACATGCAAACATCTTAGGCCCAGAACACTGGTTTCAATTAGCGGCAATGACTTCTCTGCCGTTTATGAAAAGATGACACTGTGGACTGGAGAGCCTTTATCTAATCGTGTTTTGCTATTGCCCTGTATCACTGGCAGTAACTGCTGAGGTGCTTAGTGCCTCTGCACTGGATTTCTGTGAGACTAAAGGCAAGTGTTGGGAATTATGCAGCAGAATTGGGGTGATCCCAACACTTTGCATGAACTATAATCTAAAATAGATATTTTCAGAATGAAGCATCAAAGTAATAGAATGAATGCTACTTTTTTTGATTGCTTAGTCCCCTCTTTTCCTGGTTTCGTGTCCTCTAAGGACAACCAGGAAATCTTTCTTAGTGATTAAAACAATGTTTAGGTAGTTCCACAGCTCACAAAATGGGATGTGCCGTACCTTTATAAAACTTACATACTCAAAAGCATTAGAAAGCTCCTGGAACACAGTAATCCTCAGCTGAGGAACGGCCTACTATTCTGGGACTACTTCAAAGCTGTGTTTAATTTAGAGCAAAAATCTGGGTGGTAGCATTTGTGTGTGTTTTAATAGTTACCAATCATGTCTTTCTCCAGAACTTCCTCGTGGGGTAAAGGAGATCTCGTGTTACAAGACTGGTCACTTTTAATTGTTGAAATAACAGTATTTAAGTACTCATGGATGGTGTAACTTTTGTCATACTGTGTCTGCATCAGTTTCATCCCATTGTAGTAGTCTTGGAATTGGTCACTCTAATGATGGGGGGAACAGAGCGTATGTTAAAACAGCTGCAGGTCTGTCAGGTTAGAGATTTTCAAGTCTAGTTTATTTTCAAATAGATATGAAATTTCTAATTGCTGGGGAAAATTTTTTTTTTAATTTGACCATTGATCTTTGGCATCAGCTGTAGAAAGGCTGTGGATCTTAATCCCAGATTACAGTGGATTTCTGTGAATTTTGGAAGACTTCTCAAAAATGAGATAATTATTTATAAAACAAATATTTATGGCAGTAAGTATATAGGGCATAATTTTGTCTTCTAATAGACAAGTCTTACCATAGTGAAGAATGTTTGCAAATGCTGTGTTTCCTACAAAGATTGGAGCAGTGACATGGGGAGGACTGGTTTTGCATGACTGTGCTGGCATACACGCACCAGTGCACGTCATCTTTCGGAGTCAAAGGTTCAGTCTCGGTCTCATGACCAAATGCTCTAAATGCGCTGAGAACTTACATGGTCAAAATGTAGCTGTTCAACATGGGACGCTTTTTTCAATTATCTAACCCTGTCCTCTTCCTCAGAAAGATCAGCACTATGTTGGATACCTATGTTGGCTCCCTTGAAAACTTTGCTTACTGCTTGTTCTCAGAGTCTTTGAAGCCTTCTGTTGTTCTTTAATTATCTTTTACCAGTACTTGGGTCATCCTGGTCCCACTTCAGAAAGTAATTTTTTTTTCCAGAATCAGTAAATTATGATTTAGAACCTGCTGCAATTATGTGGGTATTTTTGTTTAGGGTTTTTTATTTGTTTATTTTGGGGGGGGGGGGTTAAATCTAGGTTGGGGTTTCTTTTGTTACATTTTTTTGTGGTTTGGTGCCTTTTTTGTTGTTTTGCTGTATGTATTTTGGGGGTTTGGTTGGGGGGGCGTTTTTGTTTTTTTTTAGCAGACAAAGCCATCATTCAGAGCTGGAGAGCTGAGGTTATTTTTTACTTAAATATTACATAATTTAAACAAGTGCTAACTGCAGCATTGTAATTAAACAGCTTGATGCAGTAGCAAAGTATACTCAGGTCGTTTAATACCTTAAACTATTAATGTTTGGGTTGGGTTTTAGTTGTATTGTTAATGGGATTTGTTTTGTTTTGTTTTTCTTTTTATACCGATTGCTTTTTGAAAGCTTTTTTTTTTTCCCTTTATCTTGTTAAGGGATATTATAGTTTTCTATTTCAAATAAAAATGTAGACTGTGTCAACTTCTTTCCATTCAGTGTGAGATGGCTCTTGCATTTCTGAATGTGTTTAGGATGTTTATGATCCAAGCTTAGTAATAACAGAGTGAGCTGTGGGAGCTCTGGTTTGATATCTGGTGCAGCATTTACCCTGGTGTGTATTCATCAGCTGCAGGCTTTGTTTTTAGGAAACATGAGCTACCCAACTCTTCCTGAATTTAGGTCAGCATTGTCGTTGTGCATCTGAGTCCCAGAACCTCAGATAACTATGGTTGCTAATCTAGGAAGAAAACGAAAACTCATTAGTGCTCTCTTTTCACATGAATAATGTGAAAACGACAGACAAAAATACTGCCTGATACAATCCTACGGTCAATAAGAAGTGTGCAAGGCAAGATAGAAAGCCCTATTGTTCTCGTTTTTTTCCAATGCCTGCTCCCTTTTCATGCTTTTGTCTCTGCTTTTGTTTTGTACCAGCAATCCAGAACTGCTTTTGAGAAGTTTCTTTTTACTTCTTAAAAGTGTGCAGTTATCTGGGGTATGGTTTATATACATGTGAAGGATGTTTCCTTAGATTTTCGTATGTTTTCACTGAGCTAAACATGTGGCCTTTTCCTAAGACTCGCTCAATGATACCTCTCCCTGAAGGATTGTGTTGTTGTAACTCTTTTGTGCCAAACTCATTTTTTGACATCAGCTGATAAACTGCCATATTAATAAACTGAGTGTGAGCTTAACAATGCTGCCTCATCATAACCAAGATTTCACGTGTTGGTTCAAGCTGTGTGTTACTTGCCTTGCCTCATTAATTTTTGGTTGGGGTTTTTAAGGCTTTAGAGAAAACCCATAAATCTCTCCTGCATGTCACTCTCAGCAGCAAGGCTGTCTGTAGTCCAGCTTGCACTCTCTATTCTAACATCTGCTTCATCGTCTAGCTCTGCTTAATAGCCAGCAGATTTGACTACTGGTATCTCTAGCCTCCTTAGCAGAACTTCGTGTAAGCTGATTCTGAGAATCTCCAGGAACATATGGACTGTTCAAGGAAGGAATGGTTTCTAAGGAGGGGCCAAAAGCCACTGCAGCCCATGAAGCTGTGATAAAGAAGTTTCCAGTCCCCTTCCTCTCTTTTCATTCTCACCTCCCACGCTCCCAGTCTGATCCTGGATGCTCCTCTACCTTATGATTTTTCTAACAGATCTAACTTTACATATGTGCTGATTGTGGTGCAAACAAAACACCTGTGTGTTCTGGAAGTTAACAATCGACTGTCACAGTTGTTCTTATCACTTGAGCAAAAGTATGTAAGAAGAGATACTTGTTTCTTTGCTCTCTTAATAAGGGCATTCTTTGATCTGTAGCTGTTACACAGACTTTTGTTGAACGATGAGAAAGAACAGTATTTTGTTTTTTTTCACAAAATAGAAAGTAATTTGTGGCTGCATTAGGCAATGACTGTCTCTTTTTTAGTTGGGTCTGAAGTGACTGAGGATGTGATCCTGCCTCTGCCATCAGTTTACAAGCAGTATGCTCTACATCTAATTAAGAGTGTATGACTGTTTTCATCTGTTGAGGATTAAAGCAAAATAAAGCTTTGGCTTTGATCTTGTAAATGTTTCTTTAATGGACAAAAAGCTCTGTCATTCTTTCCCCTTTTTAGAAATGCATTGTACTTTCTGAGACATCACTTGTGTGCTCTGTTAGGAAAATTGCACTGTTTCTTTCCAAGAAAACTTTTGGTTTCTGTTCTTCCTGAAAAATTACAAAGACAGAAAAAGTGGAGTGGATGATAATTCTCCAGCAGGAAACAATGGAGGACAGTCTTTTTTAGGCTTTTTGTTTGCTCTACAGAAGTCATTCTTCACCAACAGTGCACGTACTAGCAGCTTTGAATTTCTGTTTCTAAATAAAGTAGAAGGAAGATGATTAACTGTGAGTCAGTCTCTCACTGTCTCGGTACCTGGAGGTTTCACACACCATTTAACCGAAAGCAGTACTTGGGAGTAGCTTGTGCTCATTGTGTGGGCTTGGCTTCCCTGTGAGCAGCACTAGTCATGGGGCTCCTTTTCTGGTCAGAATTAATATGCTTTGCTCAAAGGGACAAAAGATGGACCGGAGCTGCACTTAATGCTTTTCAGACTCTGCTTTGGACTGGCTTTGAAAACTGCTGTGGGAAAGTTTTTTTAAGAGCTATTTCTTTGATCTATAAGGGGAAAGTTTAGAGTTAAAGAAGTGTTAAGGAAGAAGGTGTGCAGAAAGAAATACCAAAACATCATAGGTGAAAGCGTGGTAATGCTGAAGTTGTTAATAAAACCAACTATGAGGGAAGACTGGATTTTATAAAAATAATTCTGCTTTTGTGTAAAATAGAACTGTCATGGACTTCTACAGTAAAAAGATCCTTCCGTACTGGAATTGTCAAAAACTGCTCACTTCTTGCCTTGTCTTCTGTTTCTTAGCCTTTATGATAGATCTACCAAAGCTACCAGAAGTCACGATGTATGCAGGCTTAATGACGTTAGCTGTGCTTGCAGGCTCCTAGTACTACTCTGCTTTCCTAAGCTTCTTAATGCTTCATATACAGATGTTTAAAGTTGCAGTTAAGTGATTTTTTCTTTTTTTGCACACGGAAAATTAATTTTTTGCTTAATTTAATTCATGTGGTTTCAGTATATTAATTATTTTTTTAACACATCCCTACATTTCAGACTACATACTCCTTAACAGCATGCTCCTCTGATAATTTTAGTGCTATTCTCTGAATCTAAAAACTGCCATATTGATAAACTGAGCGTTTGTTTATTAACTGAGCGTTAACTGGTGCTTGATTTTACTTTGCTCTTCTAAGATCAGTCACATGGATTGCTGTTTAGTAATTACTTGATAGTTCAGTGCATGCATGTGCTAACATAACCTACAAATGTGATTGGATATTAAACACTAAATATGGCTAATGCAGGATTGTAAGAAATGTAGAATCTGGAAATAGTTATCAAGATCTTGTTGTTAAGAGCTAAACATTTTACAGCACAAGAAATCATCTTGGTTTCTAAATCAGTAACATGCAATATGATATCACCCCAAAAGAAATACACACATACTTAATGATACTCGGGAATAAGTAACATGCACAGTTTACAGAGAGAGTCATGGTTCCAGGCTTCAGTCTTCCTGTCACATCTCTATGTTTTTATCTCTATTACTGCCTAAGTGCATAGTATTTATATAATATATGTAACTATGTGTATCTAGATATATATATAAGCGTTAATTTCTTACTATCTAGAAGAAGCATCACATCAACATTTCCTTGATTAGTTTTGCAATCAAGTACATCTCTTTGAATATTGCAATTTGACAGTACTGCAGTGTTTCCAAAATGTCACTGTTACTTCTTTCAGCATGTGCATCTGTCTCCACCTTTGTAGATCATACCTGAGGTCTTTTGCATGCACAGTTACCTCATGGCTAGAGCAGTTCTGTCGTGGGATGTGGCTTCTGACATCATGAGGCACATTTGAGTGGCTAGTAGGTATCATAATGGGAGTCTCCAGCTTTCTTAATTCTGTACAAGCCACGTAAGGAAATATTTCTCCATGACTTTTCTGAGGACATCAGCTAAATTCCCTGTGACACTTCTAACACAGAGAGCTTTCTGGTGCTCTGGTGCTTTCTGGTGAGAAAAGTTAAGGCAAAAGCTATTTTTGGCTGTCACTGTCTAAAATGGTCTCAAGTTTTCTGTGCAGATCTCTTTTATTCCCTGGATGGATTTGACAGAGAAGTTACCTAGTGCTCCATTAGCAGTTGAAAGATTATAGACAGCAGAGATTTAGCAAAGGATTAGTCAATTGGAGAGTGTGCATTATCCGGCCAGGCTTAGAACCGTGATTGTCTCTTCAATCATTTTCATTAGTGTCTTATTCAAAGATTGAATTACGTAACAATGACGTTTCTGGGGAATCTGGTAGGAGTTTTTCTTCGGTTTCTCTCTCTCTTCTACTAACTATCCTAGTCTGGGAGAGGGGAAGAAAGCGTTGTTTTTATGCTTCAAACTTGCAGCATGTTTTAAAAAGCATCATTTCAAATCAGTGAAGAGGCATGACTTCAGTTGCAGCATCTGCATTTGGATGATAACTTGACGTGGTGGAACTCTTGAGAAAGGCAGGATGCGGTACAAGAAATACATAACTATTTTAGAAGCAGCAATAGGTATTACTCCCCTTAACAAGAGGGAGCTGCTTCCTGAGGGTAGACACGCAAATCTGTGGCAACATCCGGGGTAAGTGTTAAAAAGCAATCAGTGAGTAACTATGGGAAAAATTGTGCTCACCTTGAATCATGCATTTTTAAAACTTGTTATCAGAAAGAGGAGAGTTATTAGTAAAACAGGTAACTTTTTTTTGTACCTTCCAAGCCCCATATCTTCAGTAGTTGTGGTTGAACTTAGTGGTTTCATTAGATATTTCTGTGTACTACCTACCTGCCCTTGGCTAGAGGATAACTAGGAGAAGGTGTTATTTCTAAATGAGGAGTTTGCTGAAGAACAGGAAGAATAAACACATGTATATTCAT